CTCCCCGGGACCCCCCCTTGCGGCTGCCTGCAGCCCCCACCGCGACCTTCCTCGGGGCTCCGCCAGGTAGACCTGCACCTTACAGGGTACAGCTCAGGGTCTCCATGCCTCCGCTCAGAGGGTCAGCTGAGGCCCAGCCGGAAGTCCGGCCTGGAGCCAGACCAGCAGCCGGATGAGGGGTGGCTGTGTCGGGAGGAGGCCCTCCGCTCCAAAGGGTGGAGGACCGGCCTCCCACAGCCCCGTGCGGTCAGATGCAGTGTCGGCCCTCGCTCTTGAAGTCCCACAAAATGTATGTAAATATATGTAAATGTATGCAAAGCGCTGCTCCGGCCCCGCCCCTCTCGCAGCAGCCCAGCTGCGAGCGAAGAGCCGGTGGCCCCAGAACCCCACGGAGGGGAGCCGCTCACCAGGCCCCGGAAGGTGTCCCCGATGGCCTGGGCGTCCAGGCCCATCTTCTGGGAGCCGGTCAGGCGCTCGGCGCCCCGGAACCGCTCGCGAGGCCTCAGCGCCTGGGCCAGGTACTCGCGGACCACGTAGCGGTGCGCCTCCTGCAGGGTCTCCTGGGCGGGGCGGGGCAGGGTCAGGGTCAAGGTCAGGGTCCCGTGCCTGGCTTTGAGCAGGAACCCACCAGGGCCGCGCTCCTCCCAAATACCTGCGCGCGAGGTGGCGCCAGGCGCTCCAGGTGGCCGGCGAAGGCCACCACCTTGTCCATGAGGGGCTGCAGCGTGTCCTGCGTCAGCCAGGCCTTGGTGCACAGGAGCCTGAAGAGCGGCTGGGCGAGGACGAGGGGGGCTCTTCCAACTGTGCCCGCCCAGCCACTGCGCCTCCCCTGGAGCCATGCAGGCTCCTGACAGCCAGGCAGCGAGGCCAGTCTGTCAACAGGAAGAAACCCTGGGGGTCTCTCTGACCCCCTTCTCCGGGCGCAGGGTGCCCGGGGCCTCCCTACCAGTGATGCCCGGGGCTTTCCCAGGGGCTCGGGTTTGGGTTGGAGCCTGCAGCCAGGTCTTGCTGGGTAAGGGGCCTCGTTTCTTTTTTATTTGCTTTTATTTTTTATTTTTTTTAAGTGATAAAGTTTTTTAAAATATATTTTTTATTGATTTCAGAGAAGAAGGGAGAGAGATAGAAACATCAATAATGAGAGAATCATTGATCTGCTGCCTCCTGCTCACCCCCTACTGGGGATGTAGCCTGCAACCCGGGCATGTGTCCCTGACCACAATCGAACCCAGGACCCTTCAGACTGCAGGCCAGCACTGAGCCAAATCGGCTAGGGCTCTTTTAAAATATATATACATATGTATAATATGTGTATATTATTGATTTCAGAGAAGAAGGAAAAGGGAGAAAGAGAGAAACATCAACGAGAGAGAATCATTGATCAGCTGCCTGCTCCAGGCCCCACACTGGGGATCAAGCCTGCAACCTGGGCATGTGCCCTGACCTGGAATCAAACTTTGACCTGGTTCTTAAGTCGATGCTCAACCACTGAGCCATGCCAGCCAGGCAGTCCTGGTTTCTTGACCTACAGTCTCCAGGAAGTAGCGACTGGCCATCCCTGCCCAGCTGGGACCTTGTCTGGGTCACTTGCCCCACATCACCCCTGAAACTGCCCTGGAGTAATGAATGCTGTGACTTGGGCCCCAGGGCACTCATTGGGTGTGGAAAGTAGGCAGAGAGGGCCCGTGCCACTCACCTGCACATTGTGCTGCAAACCCTGGAGCAGCCGCTTCTGGAAGATGCAGGTGGCAGCCACAAGGGGCTGCTCCAGCTCCGTGAAGGCTCCTGGGAACCTGGCCAGTAGGTTGGTCCTGGGGAGGGGCCAGGACAGGTTACAAAGTAGCCAGGGTGCAGGACAAGGCCCGGCATGCAGTCATGCAGGCTAGGTGCCAGCAACTTCACTCCCTGAGACTGCAAAGGGCCTAGGCCACACAAGGTGGTAACCCTGGGAGCAGAGCCAAGTGAGGGGACAGCACCAAAGCCCCAGGAGCCAGTCATGGAAGCGCAGGTCAGGGGTACGGGCGTGGCCATTGCAGGCAGAGCTCCCCTGCGGCAGCTCTAGGCCAACCCACCATCCCTCTGGAAGAGTGCAGCCCAGCCAAGCCTGGCCCAGGGGCCCTTCTTGGAGCCTTGTGACCGCCTCCCTGAACATGCCAATGCCCATTTCGGTGTGGAGGCAATTGAGGGCCAGGCTCTGCCCAGGCCCCAGTACAGGGACACAGAAGCGCGGGCTAACATGCCATCAGGGGCTGGGCCAGGGGCTACCTGCCCACCAAGGTGCAGAGAATGTTCCCTGGAGCTGCCCGGACAAGCCGGACCAGATTAGAGACAAGAGAGTGGTCTCATTGTGGTCTTGGTTTGGATTCAGACGGGCCTGGTTCTGAGTCCGGCTGCAGCACGTACTGGCTGCAGACGATAGACAAGTGGCATTTCTTTTCTAAGCCTCCCCTTTCCATCTGTACATGGGGACGCCACCCTCCGGATGAAAGGCACCAGGTGGGTAAAGCCCTGGCACATCACAAGGGTTCCTGAAGCCACTATGCACGGGCCCTCGAGGGCACTGAGTCCCAGGGAGCAGTGGTCTGACCTCCACGGGGCAGGTCAGGAAAGGAGGCGCAGAAAGCGGAAGTGATTCATCTCAAGGCCCACAGCTGGCAAGCGGCCGAGCTGGGATCTGAACCCGGGGCGGCTCAGGGTCTGGGTCCACCGTTGCTGGCTGCCCTGCAGCCGCTGGTGCCTCCACAACAGAGCACACTGCACCTTGGCCGAGGGTCGAAGGCACAGAATGGGGGCAGCCCTGCCAGGCCAGAGGGAGGGCCTCTGGCTTCTGGGGGCAGAGGGACCCCGGCCCCACTCCCAGCACAGCCCCGCTTCCCAGAAAAGGGCGCGTTCTAAAGAGAAAGGAGGCTGCTGGGATGCAGGGAGGAAAGACATGGAGCCCACATTGGCAGGATGTGGACCGGATTGGCAACAGGCAGAAACCAGCGGCTGGAACTGCTCAGCCTCTGCTCGGCCCTGGAGCTCTGCATCTCTTCCCGGAACGCGGCTCCGCGGGGCCCAGGCGGCCTCCCGGGAATTCCCCTTTTTGCAAATTTGTCTCCTTTGCGTGCGCCTTCGGTGCCCCGGTTTCCAGAGCTCGCGCGCCCCCTGCTGACCGTGCTGGGCACCGCGCCGAGGAGGAGCGGGAGACCCACCTGAGCTCCTCGCAGGCGTTGATGTTGGCGCCCAGGTGCGGCTCGCTCACCGCCTCCGACTCCAGAAAAGTCTTTTCAAACCTGTGGGCGGGGTACGCAGAGGCCTTGGGGAGCCTTCCTGGCCGCGCTAAGACCCGGGTCCTCCCTCCCTTCAGAACTACCCTCCCCTCGAGTCCCATCCAAGCTTCGGGCCTTGGGATGAGGCTCCTCCCTCCCACGTGTCCGGACCTCCCACTCTGAGCAAACAGGCTGGGCTCTCCCCCGGGGAGACACCATCCACACCGGCCTGGCCACTACCCCCACCCGCCCTG